TGGCCGACCATACCCAGGTCGAGTTCGTCCAGCGGGTGGGTGAGGTCGCGGTCCGACTGATCTCGCCTGCCGACCGAGAAGACCCATATTCAAGATTCATCGGATCAAAACCTGTAAAGGGTATCAAATCGGGATCCGATTGGGACGGTACACTTGCCTTCCAGCCCTAAGCCTATAAGGCGCAAGGGCTTAACTGTCCCTGAGATCGAGTCCAGATCGAATTCCGACCGAACTCCCCCGAGATCACCCTCGTGGGAGGGGATCAGGTCAGATTCCGATTGTTTCCATGCCTGGGCCAAAATCAGGTCGGCCCTTTTTCGACTGCCCCCTTGGTGTGCCGATACGGTACACTTGCCTTCCAGTCTTGAGCCTTATAGGTGAAAGGGCTTTAAGGAATTACTCCCCGGGACCGTATCAAAATTATATCGAGATGGTACACTTGCCTTCCAGCCCTGAGCCTTATAGGGCGTAGGGGCTTAGCTAGCCATGATATTAGATCAATGCCTACGTGGGAAGGTTAGATCAAATTATGACTGAGACGGTACACCTCCCTTCAAGCCCTGACTTTATGTTGTATTGACGCAAAACTATTATTATTTTATTAAGCGTATTACTAGATTTCAATTCACTAATCATCATTATGCATTATGTGGGAGAGAATAACCGAGACATTTGTCGATATCATGAATAATGGAGAAAATAAACTAAGTTAACAAATTTCATTTTGGTATACCATGTCATCCAAACGTCGATTAGAAGAAAATAAACTAAGTTAAAAAAATTTGTTTTTGGTATACCATGTCATCCAAATTTCGATTGGAAGAAAATAAACTAAGTTAAAAAATTTTGTTTTGGTATACCATCCAAATTCCGATTGGAAGAAAATAAACTGAGTTAAAATTTTTTGTTTTGGTATACCATGTCATCTAAATTCCGATTGGAAGAAAATAAACTAAGTTAACAAATTTCGTTTTGGTATACCATGTCATCCAAATTCCAATTTGGAGAAAATAAACTAAGTTAAAAACTCCATTTTTGGTATACCATGTCATCCAAATTCTGATTGGAAGAAAATAAACTAAGTTAAAAAATTTTGTTTTAGTATACCATGTCATCCAAATTCCGATTGGAAGAAAATAAACTAAGTTAAAAACTCCATTTTTGGTATACCATGTCATCCAAATTCCGATTGGAAGAAAATAAACTAAGTTAAAAAATTTTGTTTTGGTATACCATGTCATCCAAATTCCGATTGGAAGAAAATAAACTAAGTTAAAAAATTTTGTTTTGGTATACCATGTCATCCAAATTCCGATTGGAAGAAAATAAACTAAGTTAA